TTGCAAAATATTACAAAGTTAAGGGCAATTACTCTGAAAATACTAAAAATATCCAGACGAAAATACCCAGGTGCACAACTACACATGCTGATTAACATTCCTATTAAGTTTCATGACTCTAGGTCAAATACTTTTGAGTTACATGCGACACAAGTTGAAAATTGCAAAATTTTACTAAGTCAAGGGCAATAACTCTAAAAATACTAAAAATATTCAGACGGAAATACCCAGGTGCACAACTACACATGCTGATCAACATTCCTGTACAGTTTCATGACTCTAGGTGAAATACTTTTTGAGTTACGTGCGACACAAGTTGAAAATTGCAAAATTTTACTAAGTCAAGGGCAATAACTCTGAAAATACTAAAAATACCTAGACGAAAATACCCAGGTGCACAACTACACATGCTGATCAACATTCCTGTAACGTTTTATGACTCTAGGTCAAATACTTTTTGAGTTACGTGCGACACAAAAGTGAACGGACGGACGGACAGACGGACGGACAAGGGTAAATCTAAATGCCCGCCACTAAAGTGGGGGCACAAAAAGTAATTGGTCAAAATTCTGTAATTATATTTGTTCACCTTAGAGCAGTAATGGGTAAATTCCTTATATAATTTTAAGGAGTAAGCCCGTTACTGCATTAATGTAATGATTTCATAAATATTGTATACCGTATTAATCCCAAAACATCTAAAGAAATAAGCAAGATTCAATTTTACTATGGTATTTTTAATCAAGATACAACCTTGTGCAGTTTACAACAATTGGACAACAAAACAAACACAGTGCTGCATTCACTGAATTCATTGAGACATACATGTATTTTAAAAACATATTTGAGCCACGCCATGACAAAACTAGTAACATAGTGCGTTTGCGACCAGCATGGGCTCAGACTAGCCGGCGCAGTCTGATCAGGATTCATGCTGTTCGCTATCAGTTTCTCTACTTGTTACAGGGTTTGTAAGCAAACAGCATGGATCCTGATCAGACTAGGCGGATATGCAGGCTGGTCCTGATCCATGCTGGTGGCTAACACACTATGTTAGTTTTGTCATGGTGCGGCTCATTTTACAAAATATAATATACTAACTCATAGCTGTCCAGAAAATGAAATATATATTTGCTCTTAAATGTATTCTTGGTAATCAATGTGTATCTTAAATCTGCAAATTTAACCATTTTCTGTATAGACAAACACTTTTTAATAAGAAATGAGCTGGCAAAAATTTACATAAGAATAAATGAGATGATAGATGAATTACATACTTGGCTTAATTAATTGAAAAAAATGTTAAAAATCTCAAAGTTGTAGAGCAAATTATGTGCATGATAGGTTGATTGACTATTCATAATTCTCAGGTCTTGTAAAACAAGTTGATCAAGTAATCTTATTCAGTAAAATCCATGCTACAGTTATTGGTTTTGGAAACTGGTTTTTGGAAATTGAATCAATGTACAGTTTCAAAGAATACCTTCAGTGGCTAATAAGATATGAAAATCTTTGCAAATCAAAACCATAACCAAGTATTAAGTATGCCAACACAGATACCAAGGAGAAGAAAAATGCCACTATTCTTTGAATGAAGAGAGACTTTTAACACATCATATTTGCAATAAATTTAACATAAACTTTCTGAATTTCTGTAACAGATTTGCCTAGTTTTGATTTTGGAACAGCCCATTCAATGTTGAATGGATTTCAAAATCAAACACATAATATGGGCTTTTAACAGTACATGCAGATTGCCATGGCTCTATACTGACGGCAAAGACTTATCATTAAAGGTTAAAGATAAAAGAAAAACTGATCTTTTCAAGTTCAGCATCCATCTTATCTCTTCTAACCAGTAACTTTGCTTATATAACATCTGGGACAGAAAGATACAAGTTACATTTTTAGTCCCAGTATCATGTTATAAAAGAACAATAGAATAGGATAACATATCATAAAAAGCACTAAAATTTTAAACACTTAACTAGAACTATCACTAAATGTGATTAATACCCCCACAAGTCTGCTTCGGAAATGAGGATGTTACTAGTAACAGAATACCTTGTAATAGAATTGAAACATAGAGTTATGGTTGTGGGCAATTAAAGATAATTGTGGTTCATGTATGTTGCATTTCCTTTCAATGTGGTTGGCAATTGATGAAGTTTAATTGAATTACTCTGTAATAAGTCCAGAAAGACAAAGAAAAAGAACAAAGGGCAATAACTCTATAAATACTGAAGATAGAGTTATAGTTCTTGTGCACTGCACTTCCTGTTATTGTGCTTGACCATTGTATGAAGTTGTTTTGAATTCAACCAGTACGTTTTAAGTTATGCTCAGGACAAGGAAAAGTATCAAAGGGCAGTAACTCTGTATTTTGTCAAAATGGAGTTATGGCTCTTGTGCACTGCACTTCCTTTTAATGTCCTTGACAACTGTATGAAGTTGTACTGAATTCCAAACAGTAGTTTTCAAGTTATGCTCTGGACAAGGAAAAGTAACAAAGGGCAATAACTCTGTAATTAGTCAAGATGGAGTTATGGTTCTTGTGCACTGCACTTCCCCTTATTGTGCTTGACCATTGTATGAAGTTGTTTTGAATTCCAACCAGTAGTTTTCAAGTCATGCTCTGGACAAGGAAAAGTAACAAAGGGCAGTAACTCTGTAATTAGTCAAGATGGAGTTATGGTTCTTATGCACTGCACTTCCTCTAAATGTGCTTGACCATTGTATGAAGTTATAATGAATTCCAACAATAAGACTTCAAGTTATGGTCCGGACAAAAGAAAGCAATGGAAAAGTAACAAAGGGCAATAACTCTGTAATTAGTCAAGATGGAGTTATGGTTCTTGTGCACTGCACTTCCCCTTCTTGTGCTTGGCCATTGTATGAAGTTGTTTTGAATTCCAACCAGTAGTTTTAAAGTCATGCTCTGGACAAGGAAAAGAAACAAAGGGCAGTAACTCTGTAATAAGTCAAAATGGAGTTATGGTTCTTGTGCACTGCACTTCCTCTCAATGTGCTGGACCATTGTATGAAGTTATAATGAATTGCAACAATTAGTCTTCAAGTTATGGTCTGGACAAAAGAAAGCAATGGAAAAGTAATAAAGGGCAATAACTCTGTAATTACTTTAGATAGAGTTATGGTTCTTATGCACTGCACTTCCTCTCAATGTGCTTGACCATTGTATGAAGTTATATTGAATTCCAACCATAAGTCTTCAAGTTATGGTCCGGACAAAAAAAAGAAGGCAATGGAAAAGCAACAAAGGGCAATAATTCTGTAATTACTTTAGATAGAGTTATGGTTCTTGTGCACTGCACTTTCCCTTATTGTGTTTGACAATTGTATGAAGTTGTTTTGAATTCCAACCAGTAGTTTTCAAGTTATGCCCCGGACAAGGAAAAGTAACAAAGGGCAATAACTCTGTAATTAGTCAAGATAGAGTTATGGTTCTTGTGCACTGCACTTCCTCTCAATGTGCTTGACCATTGTATGTAGCTATATTGAATTCCAACCATTAGTTTTCAAGTTATGCTCCGGACAAGGAAAATGCAACGGACGTCTGGACCGACCGACCGACCGACCGACCGACCGACCGACCAACCAACCGACCGACCGACCACCGGGTGACTCCTATATACCCCCCAAACTTCGTTTTTGGGGGTATAATAATGTAAATGTGTGTAAGCATAAATGAGCCGCGTCATGACAAAACCAACATAATGGGTTTGCGACTAGCATGGATCCAGACCAGCCTGCGCTTCCGCGCAGTCTGGTCAGGATCCATGCTGTTCGCTATCAGTTTCTCTACTTGTTATACGGTTTGTAAGCCAACAGCATGGATCCTGATCAGACTGCGCGGATGCGCAGGCTGGTCTGGATCCATGCTGGTCGCAAACCCATTATGTTGGTTTTGTCGTGAAGCGGCTCAAATGTTAACAGTAAAGGTCCTTCATGTTCATCACAGCATAGAGCCAACCTGAAAGGAATAATATCTTATAATTTACCCTAAAAAAATATTTTCAGGAAAATGTCACCGGTGTAGGACTTAAGCTCACCTAGACAAAAGCCTTCCCATCAAAATGACAGTCATGGTTTAAAATAAATGATTACAGTTCAAGAATTGCAACCCTCGCCATCAAAATATTTCAAAACATTGTACATGTGAGGGCTTTTGTTAGCTTCCAAAATCACAAATGCTTCTGTACAAGATTACTCTATAAAATGTACATGCAAAATGAACAGGTACATGTATTTTAAAATCACATAACAAACATAACAAATAGAGAAACAATAATAAAATCAGACATTGTTAAAATCTGAGCTCCACTGAGGTCAAAAAGCCTAAAAAAACATATTTGAAATTTTTACAGTTTCAAGGGAAGCACTTAAAATGGAACAATCTGCAAAAGATATTAAAGAAACTGAATTTAAAACTGGCAGAGTTAGTGCGAGTCTGAACCCTATATAAGTGAAAAATGTTGCAATGCTTTTCTTTTTTGGGTCATTTTGCACAATAAAAACGATTATTTTGGAAAAACAAATTGAGGGAATGATCTCAAAATTTGCACACATGTTATTGGTTCAATTACCTCCATCAAAAGGTACACAAATCTTGGAAAAAAACATTTCCTGTCCCTTCATGTCAAAAACCTCAGTGGAGTCCCTTTAAAACTACTGTACAATAAATATATATCATACATGTACACCATATTTTGAATGTTTATAATGTGTACATGTTTATAGAAATTTATTTTTCTGCGAGATTCAAAGACAAAATATGTGGAATTTATAATACATAACAACAAAAGGTTACATAATAATTTTAAATATTCTGCTCTGGAATGTATTTTTAAAAAATACCTGTAGAATATATATTGCAAAAATATAAAATCTCATAAAAATGTTAATGAAATTTTGAATTTAAAGATTTAGAAGAGCTAACAAAGTGAAATACCAACAACTCCACCTACCAAGGAAATTGTATAGAACAGGGACCAAAATTCCATATTTCACTCAGATCCAATATTGATTTTCAGATATATTTCAAAAGGGAAAACAATAATACCGACACTTATTAAGTAAATACAGTTGAAAGCATTGTCATGGCTTTACAAGATGCAATTTTGTTTATGATTTGATATTTGTCTACTGAAATTAAATGGAAAGAAAGGGTATTTCATTTTCAAATGTAATAAGTCAACTGTCACAACAATAATTCAAAACAAATTAGTTTAATTACATGATAAATGAAAAGCATTTTGAGTAGATTCCATTAGAGAAGATTCCATTTTTGCTAAATTATCCTTATTCATAGAAATTATATATTTTTCACCCTAACAAATCATAAATGATTTGTTGTACATGTATCAAAGAAAACCAAAAATTCCTATTTCAAGGATTTAACATTTCAAGGTTCAATTCACAATTACTTGTATAACTTATGAAGAACACTTTTAGACATCATAGTGACAAGCCCTCAACATTTTGAGAATCATGTCGTCCACTACATAAATCATTACTGTGTTAAACAATAACAGAAGTTTTCTTATCTAAAATTGATAAGATTTTTCTCTTGGAGAGTTTTATCTTTAAAATAAGATTTTAGGATATCTAGAGGATGAAGAAGTGTTCTATTGTATAAGTCTAGATCCCCCATCATCTCCACATTGAAAACTGAGGAATATTGGACGTTGAACTGGGAGCCGAGCTTTCACTTTGGTCAGCTAACACGTCACCTGTGACAGCTGCATGTATAAATGGATCACTGTTATATTCATACTTGGATTCTGCCCTATCGTAAGAAGCCTGAAGTAAAAAATTTATAAACAATAACCATGTCCTTACAGAGAACATCCTACGATAGAAACATCTTAAGTCAAACCTGGGTAGTGTTTCATAGAAAGTTTCAGGTGTATCCTTATGGCCAACTATAGGATGCACTGAAGAACTTCAATAAATATTTTTACCGTTAGTGAAAGACTTAGACTTTAATTAAATTTATTCTTCTGAGAAAAGTTAAGAAATACAAGAAAGTGGCATATTCTTTAATTCAAAATGTGTTTATGTTCATCTGCGTTGCCATTCAAAAATTGAAGGACTCTAAAAAACATAGGAGTCATAAGTTAAAGTCTTTGAAATGCAATATTTGTTTCAGTTTTGGTCTTGACGAGAGACTGATTATCATTCCAGGAATCATTCTATTCAGTGGTACTAGATTCAGCCTTGTTATAGGAAGACTACACTCAAATTTCCCCAAAGATTATATTCATGAAAGATTAGTTAGGTTACTACACACCCATAATGTACCAATATATCATAAGCAACATAATTTTATGATTACCATATAAACAATCTAGTTTAACTTGACTGTATATAATCCTGTCTTAATAGTCACCCAACTGCTTTTAGCAGATCATTCGAAATTTACCATTAATTATAGTAAACACAATTGTATCAAGTGATCGTCTGTTGTAGGAGATCAGATTTTAATGTGTCCCTTGGCTGACTGCATAAAGCAGGTTTGACTGTACAGATATCAGAACAAAAACTGACATTTTGCAAAATATTTGAAATACAATTTTTTTTTAAATATTAAAGATACAAATACATTTTTAGATATTTTCATGTTTTTTTTATATATAATTTAATATTATTCTGGAGCAGTTACAAAAAAATAAAAATGGTTTCCTTACCATTTGTATACCCTGACCAGGGACCCTCATTTTCCTAACTGCTGATTGACTAGAAGTCTGAAAATTATAATAACATATATATTTTAATAGCCAATGTAAAAAAATACCTTGTTAATATTTTATTTCATCAGGAATCAAACTTTAGATTGTAATGCTGCTTTTTATTTTAGCACATTCCTTGGATGATTTTGTTGACCAGAAAGAATGAATAAATAGGTTTCAAGAAATTCTTATTATACAACTTACAATAAAACTTTGTACAATTTACCCATAACTCACTTTTCACTTTTCTAGTTCTTTTTAAAGTGGTGCAATTTTTTTACAATGACAAAGAAGGAAAATTCAAACTAGGGCAGAGAAATTTCTAAACCTTTGCATGACTAATGAAAATAAAAAAATTGAAAGAAAATTGATTTATAAAAAACAACAACAACAGACACCACCCTACTTTTGTGTTATCTGCTCTCTTAATTAAAAAGATGGGTCATGAAGCATACACTTTATCAGAAAATTGATAATTTCAGTGACTGATTGTAATAACAAGAGCTGTCGGTAGGACAGCACGCTCGACTATTCTAAGTGCTTGATAGTAAAAGAGCCTTGATAATGTTAAATTTCTTAAGTTCACAAAAGGGCTAATTTTTCATGTTATAGGCCTTAGAGAGAGTCTAATTACACAGTATTGGCTTGACTATTCGGAAGGTAATGTCACAAGGGTGTTTTATTGAGTATAATAATACTAATAACCTATGAATACATAAATTTGACAGAAAAGGTACAAAGGATTGTTATTAAGATAGTTTATCAAGTAAATCACTGCTTTATTATTATGAATGCATAAAATTGTCCCAAAAAAGGCACAAACCCTTCAGTAGTTATGGAGATAACAGCTTACAAGCAAAACTTTACCATGAATTTCTAAGTTGAAAAAGGGAAGAAAAATCAGCCTAAATGCAAGATAGAAATTATGGATCTTTGTCAGTGACCTACAATTATGACCCTAAATGCATATGTGAAGTTTTAAATAAATATCTTTAATTGTTATTGAGATATGTAAAACTTGCATGTAAACATTAACCAAGAGAATAAGTAGAAAAGGGGATATAAATCAGCCTTAATGCAAGATAGATTTATGGAACTTGGTCAGCGACATAAAATTATGACCCTCAAATTATGACCCTAAGTACATGTGTAAAGTTTCAAGTAAATATCTTTGAAGACCTTTAACCAAAATTTCTAAGTTTCAAAGGGGCAAATAATTCTGCAAATATTGCAGGCAGAGTTATGCAATTTTGCAAACTGATGTACATTGTTACTATAAAAAAGTATTTTAAATTTCAATTGAATATCTCAAGCAATAATTGAGATATTTGACTTTACAAAAAAACTTTAACCAAAATTTCTAAGTTCCAAAGGGGCATAATTCTGTCAATATTGTAGGCGGCAGAGTTATCCAACTTGTCAATCTGATGAACCTTGTTACTATCAATAAGTATTGTAAGTTTCAATTGAATATCTCAAGCAATAATTGAGATATTTGACTTTACAAAAAACTTGAACCAAAATTTCTAAGTTAAAAAGGGGCATAATTCTGTCAATATTATAGGCAGAGTTATCCAACTTGACGATCTGATGAACCTTGTTACTATAAATAAGTATTGTAAGTTTCAATTGAATATCTCAAGCAATAATTGACTTTACAAAAAACTTTAACCAACGCAGATGCCGACGCAGACGCTGACGCGACTACAATAGCTCTCATATTCTTCGAATAGTCAAGCTAAAAACTGTCACACACTAAAATAGTTTTATTCATTATTATCCTTAGAAACGTGCATTTCCTTACACAAAGATTTTGTATTTAGTATAGAAACATCCATTGAAGACTAAAAATTGCATGAACCACTTGTCATCTACATGATTCCATTATCAAACTTTTGACAGTTTAAAAATCTCCAAGTTAGAGCATAAAATTTTATACCACTAAAACATACAAAATTATTTGTCATAAAATATAACAACTTACAGGTCTGAGTACTCTTTTCTCTATAAGTTCTGCACGTGAAACCCGTTTACAACCAATTGCGGCAAAATGTGGCCATATCTTATCTGACGCCGAGGCAAAATCTATCGGAGTCCTAGTTAATATTGAATAAAATGTTGAAAAATTAATGTAAATCTAAGTCCATGTGTTATTTCATTGTAATGAATATGGATAAAAAATTTATCCATTTTTTTAAATTCAGTCAAACATAAACTGAGAATACAAATATGAATCAGTTTTTTTTCCATTATTATTATTATTTATTATTTGTAAGATAATCTGAAAATACTTCAACTTATCTTCAGCAAGTAATATATAAAAAGTCTTTGCAATGTATAATTAATAAAGAACTGACAAAACAATTCAAACCTGCCAACTGAGTCAGGGCTGTCTGGTTTAGCACCATATTCTAACAACAACATAACAATCTGAAAACAGCAACAGATATATACTTTATTTCCTTCAATGTACATGAAGAGCTGATAACATATTGATAAATAATAACATTCATGTATTATTATTTGGCGGTGTGATGGTCCTAAGAAAAGATTTTATCTTAAATCTATCACCACAATACTTCAAATATTTTTTAAAGAAAAAGTAGATTGTTTACGGGTTTTTTATCTCAATAAAGCAATGTATTGCATTAATAAATTTCTATTTTCTGAAGAGAAAAAAATTAAATAACTTATGATAACAAGAGCTGTATATAGGACAGTGTGTTCGACTTTTCTCAGTGCTTGATAGTAAAACGAGAGCCTGGATAATGTAGAAAGTTCAAAAGGGCCATAATTATGTCAAAATCCAAGAGTTATGGGCCTTGGACAGTGACCTTGTATTATGCTCTAAATGTGTGAAGTATCATACAATTCCCTTCTTTGGAGATACCAACCTGAAGGCAAAACTTAACCAAAGTGTTAGCGTGATGCTGATGTGTGTATAATAGCTCTCCCTATTCTTAGAATAGTTAAGCTACAAATTTAGAAACTCATCAATGACCATCCATTTAAATTGCAAGTATTTAACTTCAATTTGCTTTTCAATCAAAAGTTTATTTCTTACTTTATGCATGTAATATCTTAAACAGACATGCAGACAAAACAATTAAGAATTTTTAGCAATAATTTCAATACACATACTGACTACATAACAAACAGTGCAGACCATGATCAAATGGTACAAATGTCCCAAATGATCTTGATCTCCAAAATGGTTGCATTGGCGTCTGCAGTAGGCCAAGTGTTACAAATTTTAAGAAATATAGAGAAAGATATGCGTATATCTTACTGGACCATATTCCTGGAATGTGGCAGCATGAAGTGGTGTCCATAATGTTATGTTATTCCTTCTATTTACATCTGAAACAACAGAGAAATATTAGATGTGGTGAATAAATGTAGTTTCCATTTTTCCACAAAAGGTCAACTTAAATCACTTCTTACTTTGTTTATACAAAATACTTAAAATTATAAAAACATTAAACCACGCCATATCCACAGCAATGCCCCATAAACTTAGATTTTTCTTAAATGCATTTATTTATTTATCTATAATAGTCTTATATGTACCTGTTTTGTTTCTTAGTAACTGATCTACTATATCTCGAATGCCCCAAAAACAAGCTGAAATGAAAAATGTGTAATTAATCAAGCTGATTTCAAGAACAGAAACTATATTAACTTTTATAAAAGAGGATCTAGAAGTCATCTACCATACAAAACAATCCTGTTATTCATTGTACAGTGTTTTACCCAGTAAGACAGTTGTAAAAAGCTCAAATAAACATACCGTATAGTTTCCATTTAATAACCTTTAGGCTCGCCTTTTTAAGTCAGATTTTACATTACTGGAGTGACATTTAAAATTGTTACTTTTGAAATAAAAATATTTGGTTTTTAATCATTGCTCCTTCATTATGGATTATAAATCTACAGTATGTATTCTTAACCCTTATCTGGTTCTACTCAGGTGCCTGTTCGTGCCTGTAATGCCAGAAAAGCTGGAACGTTGCCATATGACATATGTGTCGGTGTGGCGTAAAACCCAATTAAACAAACTTATACCTTATCTACTGAATTACTAACATGAACTTACCCACTCAGCTTCTATTTTTACATTATCATAATGTATCAAGGTAAGGTGTATCAAGTTTGGCCACTAGCAGTTTAGAGCTTGGTCTGTCTGCTGCTGGATGTGCAGGCTCCAACCTGTGGTTCTGTACTGGTGGTAAGGGCTAATCACTTTTGGTGTCAGCACAGTAAGTGTTAATGGTAAAAGTACATTTTTAACAATTTTCCCTGAAAATGTATCCTCAATCATTTTTTCCCCTAATCTACCAAATATAATACATACCTATGTATAATTGGCTTTGTGTAACATCTGGACCATTGCCTTCTAATTTAATATTCTCTGTTAAAAACTGCTCTATCAACTGTAAAAGGATGAAATAAGATCATTTAAAGCACTGTTTGCTCGATTAAAAAATGTCTACTGAGAGAATATGTCCAAGACATATATAATATAATGCTTTTTTCAAGTGTTATCTATTTTTTTCGCCAGACAATGATAGCAGTAAATTGAAGATTCAAAGATGCTTTGAGAAAAATTGCTGCATTTTTCAAGTTTCAGAGACAATGTCATATTCTTTGATTAAATTGTCTCAAAAAAATAACAGTTGTTTTTTTTGTTTTTCTTATACATTTTAGGAACTTATATTTCAAAAGCTTAAATCATAAATATCAAAGTGAAAATCATACTGAATATATGTTACTTTTATGACAACAAGGACAAGCATATAAATCTTAAATTTCAACAGTGAATCAATGGCTTAAACTTTAAATCAAAAATATGATTTAAAAAAAAAAATCTTAATATTTCCTTAATTATAGCTTTTGAAAAGAAACTTGACTACAAAAAGGTACTACCTTACATATTAATGAACATGAATAAAATGTATTGAACAAAACATTTTGTTGAAGAAAAACAATCAACAAAACAAGCACATGAAGTGAAATTGATGAAGAGCAAATGACAGAAATCAATTTGTGAACAAATCACACTGGTGCTTTTCAAAACAGCTTTGAAAGTGTAAGATGATAGAGTAGAAATTTCAGCTGAGTAAATTAACCATCAGTCTCAGCTAAAAAATGATCAGTCACAATACCCTTTGCAACCTGCTAGACTCAGACTCAAGAGTACCTCAGCATTTTGCATGTTCTTAGGTTCCAGTTATAAAAACAATGACTATTTCAAGTTATTATAAAAACACAAATTCAATTGCAATTGTTTTCCGTAAAATTTTAATGTTTTATAAATTTCTATTCACAGTTTTTTTGCTGTTTTTTGCTGTTGTTTTTTGGGGTTTTTTTTGTTCTTTCATGAGCAGTTATAATATAAATGTATATATCTGTATACATGTGTACATGTATTTGTATTAAAATTGCATAAAATAGCATAAAAAAAACAAAACAAAAAAACCCAAAAAAAACCTGTAAAACTCCAATTCAAAAAACACTAAAATGTCAAAAAAGAACGGAAACATTCAAAAGCTGACAAATTTTGTAAACAAAAAAAAGAAATTTTATTAAATTGAAAAAAGACTGATTTAAGCATTGTAGTAGAGTTAAGATGTATAGTAAAAACACTTTACAGATAGATCTACAGAAGATGGAAAGTTTACACAATAAGTGAACTATGTATGTTAAAAACGACTGCTTACTGAATTTTATAATATAATGATAAATTCAGCACTTGTACATCTCTAATTTCAACAACAATAAACACTACTGTCCATACACCCAGGTTTCTATATATTTTCCTTTAATTCTTGACTCAAAACAATTAAAACATCCATTGAGGACAAACATAAAATTATGTGTGTGTGCACATTTTCAATTTCCAATCAACTTGGAAAGGATAAAATTGATGTTTCTTATCACCTCAAACATTCTTGTCATTTAATAAATAAATCACAAGTTTCCATTAAAATGATTTTGGCAGACATAATTATTGATCATTCACTTCAATATTATTGTGGACTTCATGTGCTTTCAACTTTTATTCACATAAAATACAATTTTGTATTAATCAAACAATAGTTAACTCTTTGCATCTGAAATCAGCACAAAGATATTCAAAACTTCTACATAAAGGACACAGTTATTCAATATAAAATGGACACAGTTATTCAGTATAAAAATGGACACAGTAAGTTATGCAGTATAAAAATGGATGACGTTATCCAGTATAAAAATGCAACATTTCAGCAAATTAGTGAGTATAAAAATCCACAGCATACATCATCCTACATATACTGTACACATGCAAGGTCAATAACTAGAAGATGCAGATAATTCAGAAACAAACAAAGAAAAAACAACAACAACAATTTTTCATTGACACTATACCTCTCGTTCTGACTAAATAAAACAAAATAAAAACAAGAAAAAAATAAGGTAAGTGATACAGCTATGGTATGGCTACAAAGTTTGCTCCTTTATACTGAATATTATATAACCACTGCCTTATACAATATGTAAATGATACTACAATGAAGAGAACAGTCCCCAATAATAACACAAATTTTGATTTATAAATAAAGGTATTGTAAATTTGGAACTACAAGAAAATTGTATTATTCATCAGATATATTTAAAGTGACATTATGCCCATCCAAGAGTAAATAGTTAGTGAACAGGTGAAAGACAAAGTATGTTTTCATTTTGACATACATGTAATTCCCTTTAACTTTTATAATTACTTCGTATGAATGAAAAATATCTCACAATTGGCCTGATGAAATTTCTGTAAATATCCAACAGAATTTACCTCTTACCGGTCCAATTTATAAAACAAATGGGGCAATCTATTTATATTTTGGACAGATTTGTGTTTTTAAATCTTAATCATTTTCCAATATCAAATGACTTTTTGACTGTTGGTCAATCACCATTAAAACAGTCAATCTTTTGAAATATATAGTCAATTCAGCTAAACATGACAAGTAAAAAATGTGCATAATGTCACTTTGAGTTTGAAAACAAAAATACTTTCTCAACACTGCTTTAAATAGTACCATTAGATGAATTTGTGTTTAATATTTCAAAGGGGACTGCCTAACTATGTATGCATTCTAGTGCTTACAATTTTAATAGCAATGTGCTAGCAAATAATCATAAATCTCAAGCCATATTCCTCCCAAAGAGCAAGGCCATCATTAAAAATATAGCAAAAGCAAAATTATGACATGTAACTGTAATGGCCATTATAAATCTTGAAATTATATCACTGGTCCTGTTACAAGTACTTTCTTTATAAAGCTTGAGAAACATGAATGTTTGTTTAATGGGAATCTCAATACTCATTAGGTTTAGGATAAAGCATGATGAGAACAACAGACATTTTACAAAGAATATGGGAATATCTGATAGAATAATGTGCCGGAATTGAAAATTACACTACATAGAACTATACCTTCAGACTTTCAGGATCCAAGACATATTTTTGATCTTTCTGAGAAAATTAATAGTGATAAATGATTATTCAATACCTTGATTATTTCCAGCTCTAAGGATTAATAAATTGATAATGATTTGTCTATTAAAAGTAATAACATTATCTCACATACTGTTCACTCAGTGTTGATTTAAATGTTGTTGTTTCAAATTCATGTCTAAAACTAACTCACTTTTTTTACAAGGATAACCAGTCCTGGAATATTTGTTGCTTGGTATAAATGAATTAATATTAAATTTTTTTGACTTTATATGTCACTTAACAGAACTTTCTACTAATTAGATCAGATGTGTGAGCCACAGAAATTGGGACCATAACTGTATAAAGCTCTAAAGCAGTCAGTTAACATTGTTCTCTGTTCCCATTAGAAAATCTGGGAGGAATTTCAATTTAGCATTTAAAGAGCATGTCATCGCCAATAACTGTTCACTTATTAGGACAAAAGGTGTGTAAGCTGCCCTAGATATCTCGGTTTCTGAAGTTGCATAATGTTACTGTATTCTGAGGGTCCAGAGTTAAAGTCCTGGTCAAGCTGGGAATTTTTTTCACCTTGTGACATGTACAGTAAGTTGAGAAATTCTTTGTTAGAAATAAATGTGTTGTCATAATCCAATTTTTACATATTATCAATATTTACATGTAATATATATTTAATTATATCATATTGATTTCATATTTAAATTGTCATGAGGGGTTTTTTGAAAAAACCATTTCCCCAAATATGGAAGAATGGGGGAAAAGATAGATATTCCAGGTTGTGTAGACACACAACTGAAGACACAGTGCCGGCAGATCCAATTTCTATGAAACATTTATGTTATTGTTAGACAAAATAATATTATTTTTTTTGGAATTAGACTGTTTAGATAAAAAGCTATGCATACAGATTTTATTTTTTTTTGTTAAAATAACTATTGTAGAATATTATAGATCTAATATTGTTCAAACAAGTGAACCACTATCAAATTTCAATTCTCAGTGTCAGAAATTTTGTGATTCAAAATTGTCACAACCAATAGATTTATCTGATAAAAAAGAATAAGCATATGAAATAGATAATCATTTCAAACATTTATATGTAAACAATGGTATAAAGCTATCTTTTGACAGTTGTAACCAAGGACGCCTAAAATTGCTAAATTGATAATTTTTAATTTATGTAAATTTTTAACACCATGGGTGAATGGACATGTATATTTTCATAAATTACCGCACCTGCTCATCTCCCTCTTGTGCTAATGTTGATAGATTTTCGACAGGGATTTTAGCTGTGCGTAAATGAACTTGTAAATCTTGTAAAATGCCGAAATTTTGGCCATCTTCGGCCATTTTTAAGATTCGGAATATCTTCGTGTCGGTGTTAACGTAAAAAAGTCCCTAGACCGGTTGTCCACCACAGGGTAAGTACACGTTGATGTTTTTCACAGTTTTTGTCTGAAAATGACATATTTTTTAGTATTATATGTATCTTATACTTCCATAATGATAATGTGCTAATAATCGAACAACGATAGTTTTACACAAGTAGACCGACATGTTGTATTTTTGTCGGTAGCAAGACACTTCACCCTCCAGACACTCCTCTCCCTCAAGACATTTCACCTCCCGCCCCCCCCCCCCCCTCAAAAAAAAAAAAAAAAAAAAAAATCAGTAAGACACTTCACCCCTCATCCAATTTTTTTTCTATAAAGTAAATAAGCCAACTCCACAATGCTTTAACAGTGTTTAATATATAATATGCTTATTTTTAGTATTATTTGATTAATAATTTTTTAATTAAATGACAATTTACAGACATTTCTAAGAGTAAATATTTGTTAAGTAATTAATTCAAGGGAAGTTCTGTAAATCTTTTTGTCCCCCGCCTTTTCAAAGAAAAAAGGGGGATATAGAAATCCGTCTGTCCGCTCTCACGGGACAGTAATAATGTGGCTAGAGGGACAATAGGTAACTGTTCTTTCTCTTTGATGTCATTCATTCCATAATGCTTTTATGTGGCTATTTTCTTTTGTGACGCTAAGAAGAACAATAGAGTAGCGACATAATTACTGTCCCTTTAGAACGTCCATCCATCACACTTTTGTGTCCGATCCATAACTTTGTCATTTGTAAAAGGAATTTAAAATTACTTGGCACAAATGTTTGTTATAATAAGACGATGTGTCATGCGCAACAACCAGACCCCCCACCTCCAGGGTCAAGGTTGCACTTGCTCATTCAACGTCAACATTGTCTATTTGAGGGTATATGTCGTATCCGGTCCATAACTTTCTTATCTTTGAAGGAATTTTGAAAATACTTGCCACAATTGTTCACAATAATGAGACAATGTGTCATGCGCAACAACCAGTCACCTTCCTCCAAGGTCAAGATCACACTTGGAGGTCAAAGATTAACAGTCAGTTATAGGGTATATTTTATGTCCAGTCAATAACTTTTTCATAGATCGAAGGATTTTGAAACTACTTGGCACAAATAGTCACTATAAAAAGAGGATGTGTCATGCGCAACACCTGCATCTCTACCTCCAAGGTCAAGGTCACACTTAGAGGTCAAAAATTACCATTGTCTGTTGTAGGGTATATTTTGTGTCCGATCTAGAACTTCTTCATAGTTCAAGTGATTTTGAAATGACTTGGCACAAATAGTCACAATAATGAGACAATATGTGTAGTACTACACCTGCACCCCTAAGTCCAAGGTCAAGGTCACACTTAGAGGTCAAAGGTTAGCAGAGTATGTTAATGGTATATTTTGTGTCCCTTCCATAACTAATTCATAGATCAAGGGATTTTGAAAATACTTGGCACAAATATTAGTCACAATGATAAGATGATATGTCATGCGTAACTTCTGTGTCCCTACCTCCAAGGTCAAGGTCAACTTAGAGGTCAAAGATTTACATAGTCTGTTATAGGATAAATTTTGTGTCCATAACCACAGGGGGCCCACACAGTGTTTGGATGGTATATACTGCTTGATAGTGACCTTAAAATGAGATTTTAGTCATAACCTTGTAATATGTATATAAATATAGACTATATTTATATACATATTACAAGGTTATGACTAAAATCTCATTTTAAGGTCACTATCAAGCAGTATATACCATCCAAACACTGTGTGGGCCCCCTGTGTCCATAACTTTTTCATAGATCAAGGGATTTTAAAAATACTTTGCATAAATAATCGCAATAATAAAATGTTATGTCAGGCGCAAAACATGGGTCCCTACTTCCAAGGTCACACTTAGAGGTCAAAGTTTAACGGTATATTTTGTGTCCGATCTATAACTTCTTCATAGTTCAAGCCAATCAAGGGATTTGAAAATACTTGTCACAAATAGTTACAATAATAAGATGATATGTCATGCACAGCACCTGCACCCTTACCTCCAAGGTCAAGGTCACACTTAGAGGTCAAAGCTTAACATGATAGATTTTTATATTCTGTGTTTCATTTTATTTCTTTAATAAATTTATTGTTGTATTAGCAGATCTAGCATTGATCATAAATTTGGACTGAAAGCTCTGAGATTCATACCTCAATCTTTGAAATAGCACAATTTTATGCTTCATATAAAACTTCCCTGAGGCGGGGGATGTTGGTAAACTCTGTTACAAATTCTTATTAGTTTTACACATGCAGGAAATTTCATGCGTCATGGGGGATGCCAGATTAGTCACATGCAGCATGATTTCAGTGAATTAATATCTTTCTTGAATAATATTAAAAAAAAAAATACCTGAGATATGTTTGTGGTTCAGATTGAAATATCCACTGATACCAGCCCAATGGGCATGTGTAATGATTTTTCACAAATTTAACTAGATTAAATTTGTTTAATACTTTGTTTTCTGTTGTTGAAATGTGTTTCAATTTATTCCTCACTTTAGTAACATGAAAATGAAATGTCTGACTTATGATCTAAAATAGCTAAATATACCTATAAGTTCTTCCTTCTCTACAAATTCACATGCTTAAATCAAAAAATTAAATATCTATTAGTATAAATGTTATAATATAACGAAAGAAATGATGAAAATGTAAAAACTATGATATAATTTTTTCATTTCACTAAAAAACATGTGTAGAAATAAGATTTTATTAAAATATTGTAAGTTTATCATTGCAAATACATAAATAACATATAGTCAAAATTGTCTTTACAACATAAGATATTACAAATCAATATTTTATGAATAACTTGTGTATGACAAATTTACAGATATAAGTCAAAGAATTTTTCCAGCATATAATCGCCAACTGGTTTAGCCAGCCAACCATTGGATACAAGGTTGTCAATGACATATTTCCTTGAATGTTTATCTGTGCTTTGATCCTTATCATTTAATTCATTTACAGTTTCTTTTAAATCAATACTTCCAGAATACCTGGTTTTAAAACCTTTGCCCATATTTTTCCTTTTTCTAAGCTGCTTTTTTTTAATTTTTTAGGGAAATTTTTTGGGGTTTTAAATTTAGGACAAAATTACACGCTGTTTGGCAGTTTCATCTACAGTCTTTTATCTTTTCCCAAATGAAGTGGAATTTTTTTCTCATTAATTTGGCACCAAAAACCATTACCTTCCCTTATTGCATTTATAATCATTTTTAAATTCATTAAATTCAATTTCCCTTAAATAAGGAAATTTAAATCCCCAGCTTGATGGAATTTTTTCCAAATTTTCTTGGTCATTTAAAGATTCGTCAGTCATATTTTTATATGAACTGTGTTCTTTCATTGTGCTTGGGTTACTTATTATTTCTTTATTTGTTTGGTTATTTACACCATATTTCATGTCATATTCAGTTCCACTCAGCTGCTGTCGTATTTCTGTAGAATTGATATTATCAATTTCATCTTCAATCATTATAAAGTCAGGATTTGTTACAAGATCTTCTTTGAATTCTTCTGCATATGCTTTTCTCACGGCCTCAGTTTCACCTTTACGACCTACACAGACAGTTAAACATTTGCTTTTTGCTTTCCATTTCCAGTGACCATTGCTGAATGCAGCCTTGTCTGCTCCAATTACCATGGCAACCTTGGCATTTTTGAAATTTTCCCACTTCTTTACATTTTCTCCGCAGTTTCTGGCAGAATGAGTGGTGGTGAAGTGTGCTTTAATCAATTTTTGGCCACTGCAGGCCAACTCGCATAGCTTAATCCGATGTTCAGCTTTAATGCACCTATCCCCTTTTCTTTTACACTTCTTTTCAACATAACTATCAGGTGCGACAGCAAGACGTGCTGCAACAACATTATAGTTTGCCATATTACTCAGCCACTTCACTGCACTATCTAACATTTGTATGTGTCCGACATGAACTGGATTAAATGACCCACCTAAACATACAATTAAATCCACTTTATCTCCAGCAAAAACTGGTTTTGTACAAGTAGTATATTGAATTCTTTGCCACAAGGTTATCAATGGGTTTTTCTAAAAACACTTCCTTTTTTCATTTGTGGGTTTTCATGGGCTTTAAAATCCCTCAGCAGTTAACCTTTTTCCCTTTTTGCTTCTTCCCCGTCCGAGCTGGGGAATTTTATCCCAAAAAGAAATGCCTTTCAAAAATTGGGTACATCTGAAAGGTGTGTAAAACGCGTTCTCAGGAGTTTGTTAAACTTGTGTAGGGTCGTTTTTTTAGTACATGCTGACGTTGCTCATGGACCATGTCAGTTATGTCCTCTATGTGTTGTATATATTGTTCGTGAAATCTCTCTAGAGGAATACCTTTGATGCCAAGCTGTACGGCCCTTCGTCTTTGGTTTCCTCCTTTAGGGTCATGATCTGGATCCCATTGGATTCGAACATTACCTTTGTAAACGAAAACAAATATTTTATAGACAGTTTACATTGGAGAAGTTTTATATGTTTTTATGCCACCGCAGCATCTGCGATGCGGTGGCATATAGCGATTCACCTGTGTGTGTGTGTGTTTGTTTGTTTGTGTGTTATATAGATTATATAGTGAACTTAAAAAATCTTCTTGTGAAAAACCACTTGTCCAATTTCAACCAAACTTGGCAGGATTGATCCTTGGGTGAAGGGCTTCCAAAGTTGTTCAAAGAATTTTATTCCATGCAGAAATCTGGTTGCCATGGCAATGAAAAGGAATTAAAGAATAAATTTAAAAAATCTTCTTGTAAAGATCCAAAAGGCCTAGAGCTTAGATATTTTGCATAAGGCATTGTCTGGTAGACCTCTACCAAGATTGTTCAAATTATAGCCCTGGGGTTAAAATCGGCCCTGCCCCGGGGGTCATTGATTTTCACTATATGTAAATATAGTAAAAACTTAAAATAACTTCTTGTAAAGACCAAAAAGGCCTAGAGCTTAGATATTTTGCATAAGGCATTGTCTGGTAGACCCTTAACAAGATTGTGCAAATTA